AAAACACTTGAAAAAGGATAGGGTGAAAGGAGAGAGAGAACAGAATAAATGGGGGGGAGAATAGGGTGGAGGGAAATACAGTTAGCAATAGTGGGGAAAAAATTGAGGCAAGTTTCTCTGATAAAGGCCTCATTTCTAAAACATGTAGAGAACTGAGTCAAATTTGTAAAAATAAAGAGTCATTCCCCAATTGATAAATTATCAAAAGATATGAACAGTTTTCAGATAAAGTAATCAAACCTATCTACAACCATATGAAAAAATAGTCTCACTATTGATTAGAGGGATGCAAATTAAAACAATTCTGAGGTACTACCTCATACCTATTAGACTGGCTAATAAGACGGAAAAGGAAAATGAGAATGTTGGAGGGGGTATGGGAAAAATGAGGCATTAATGCACTGTGGTGGAATTGTGAACTGATTCAACCATTCCGTAGAGCAATTTGGAAATATGCCCAAATGGCTATAAAACCATGCATACCCTTTGACCTAGCAATACCACTACTAGGTCTGTATTCCAAAAGAAATTTAAAAAAAAAAAAAAGGAAAAGTACCTATATGTACAAAAATATTTATATCAGCTCTCTTCTGGTGATGAAGAATTGGAGATTGAGGAGATGCCCATCAATTGGGAAATGGCTGAACAAACTGTGATATGTGATTATGATGGAATATTATTGTTCTATAAGAAATGATGAGCAGTGTGCCCCCCAGAAAAACCTGAAAAGGCTTACATGAAGTCGTGCAAAGTAGCAAGTAACAGCAATATTGTAAGATGACCAGCTGTGAATGACTTAGCTATTCTCAGCAATACAATGATCCAACACAACTCTGAAGGATTTATGATGAAAAATATTATCCATCCCAAGAGAAAGAACTGATGGTGTCTGAATACGGGTGGAAGCATACTTTTTTAACTTTCTTTATTTTTCTTGAGGGGTTTTTTTGGTCTATGTTTTCTTTCACAGCATGACTAACATGGAAATGCTTTGCATGACTACACATGTATAACCTAGATCAAATTGCTTACCTTCTCAATGGAGGGAGGGGGAGGAAGGGAGAGAATTTGGAATTCAAAGTTTTTAAAATTAATATTAAAATTGTTTTTACATGTAACTGGGGGAAAACAAAATACTAAATAAATTCAAAAAAGAAAATAGAAAAAGAAAATGCATGGACTATAGTTGAGGCTAGACTTGGAAAAATGGACAGTTTTTCATAAGTATACTTACTATCTAATATGGTTAAAAGTTGGTTTCATGATGAAGAATTAAAAATTATATGTGTTAAAATTGTGTTACCTCAATGCCGAATCATGTAAATCGTGTGAGTATCGCTAACAAATGTTTCATATTGAAATCTTATTAAGCTATAATAAGAAGAAACTAGCATTTATATAATGCTTTAATTCTGCAAAGTACTTTGTAAATATTATATAATTTTATCCTCACAAAAACCCTGGGAGGTAGGTGCTATTATTATCCCCATTTGACAGATAAAAAAAAAACTGAGATGAACAGAAATGAAGTGACTTTCCTAATATCAGATAGCTAGGAAGTGTCTTAGTTTGGATTTGAACTCAGGTCTTCCTGACTCCAGATTCCATCTCTCTATTCACTACTAAAGTTGTAAGGTGTATCATGTAATTTAATAAAGCTGATGGTTTTACTTTGCACCAAGTAATTCACACAACACTCTAAGTCCTAAATAAATGTTTTGTTGAATGAAATTGAACTTTTGCAACAATTCTAATGTAGTCACATTAGAAAATCAAAACCGTGTTTTTGTTTGTGATGGGAATCTTTTAAAAAGTTTTTTTTAACCTGTATTTTAAAACCTCGTATGACTAAAGAAAAACAAATATGCAAACAATTGGTTTGCATTCCCACACCTACCTTTGGACTGTCCCAAAACATTTAAAACATGACTGAATCATGCTTCATAATGATTTCCAGTAACTGGGTTTGATATTACACAGTCACCTTAAGCTCTGTGTGGCAAAACTCTAAAATATGTCCAGAGAACTTGAGTTCCTCAAATCTGCTTCAATCAGCATTAATCTGTACAAATATTCATAAAATTTCTTAAGTGGGTAGCCTATTTAAATGAGTTTTAAAGCAACATCAAAAGTATAAATCTTGAGTTTACAGTCACAAACCAGTTCCACTAAAATCAATGTTTCAAAATGTTTAAACAAATGACTTTCAGGATCTCTAAGTTCACAAGGATCCTGAATTTGGAGCAGGAAGCAATGTTGCAGGTGGTCTAGGGTTAGGCCAACCTCCTTATTTTACAGACAAACTAAATCATCAAATCACAGAATTTTTAAGTTGAGGGGGACTTCAAAGGCCACCTAATCCACCCCATATTGCAAGGAAATTCCCATTATAAATATACCCCCCAAAGTAGTAATACAGTCTCTGATTAAAGGCCTCCATGCAGGAGGAAGCCCACCACCACCCAGGACAACAATCCATTCCACTTTAGGCAGTTTCAATTGTTAGTAAGTTTTTACTGACTTCAACCATAAAATTTCCTCTTTGCAATTTCTTCCTATTGTTTCTCCTGGTTTTGCCTTATAGGACTAAGTAAAATAAATCCAATGTATGGAAAAATATGATGGCCCTCACATACTTGAGATAATAATCTCCAGAATTGGAATGCTTTCTCTTCTCATTTCTAACTCCTAGAATTCCTAGTTTTCTTCTAGGTTCAGCTTACTTACCATCTGCTGCAATAAGCCTTTCCTGATCTCCTAAATTGTTATTACTCTTTCTCCTCCTCAAATTATCATACGTAATCTTATGTTTAAGAGTCAGCCTGGCCTTACAAAGAGACAGAGACAGAGACAGAAACAGAGACAGACATAGACGGAGGTGGGGTGGGAGGCTCAAAACCAGGAGGACCAGGGTTGAGCCTCAGACAATACCACACTGATGTGATGCTGGTGAAGACAGCTCTCAATGCCCTAGGCAAGTTGCTAAGGCTATGAATTGTAGAACAGGTGCAAGCAACATTGATAAAGGGAATTTCCTTACCTGGTAGAGGGAGTTCCCTAAACCAGTGAAATCAAGGATCCAGTCCCTATCTCCAGTCTAATATTTACATGTGGCATCAGTCCAGCTGAGTGGAAGTTCCTTGAGGGGCCAGGCCATCTCATTTGTCTTTGTATCTCCAGAACCAGTAAAGTGAACAGAGGGTAGAGAGTGGCCCTTGGACACGGGTTAGGGGTAGGGACCCCAGGGCCTTCCTTGCACATAATGGGCACTTAATAAATGCTTGTTGGACTATATGGAACACACTGGAGACAAGGCTACTACTCAACCACAGATATATTACTCATACACACATGATTACACTTGTTTATACCCTTCCCAGTGAGTGCTGTTTGCTTCTCTGAAAATATATCAAGAAAAACTCATAGCCTTCTGCTGTTTTACTGTAAAGAAACCAGTGAAAAAGCCATGTATTAAAACTCTAAAATCACAGCAATGGTTGTGTAAGGGAGGAGAAAAGTTGAACACCCATCCTAGATCACTTAAAATGTCCCTGACGGAACTGCCTAAATGGTAGGGGCTGTGTTGGAAAGGTAGAGTATGTCTAATTACACTTCCCACTCCTAAAATTTTCACGGCATTGACTCTGAACCTAATTACGAACCCAGAAAGACTACAGGAGTTCGGTAATGATGCCCTTTAGCGCTGTGCGATTCTCAGAGAAACACAGAGAACTAGAATGAAATCAAACTTCGGTGGTAGAAAAGGTATGACAAAAGTAATCCAGTTGACGAGCTAAAATGAACCATCCCATCTTGGTTATGACTTGCTAGTACTTGTACTGGCTGCGTCTATTAGTACCGCAGACCCTCCCGTACAAGAGAAGGGAGGGGAAGAAAGGAGAGGGAAAGAATAACTTAAAGAATAACCATGCACAAAACCAAATGCTACATTGTGCTTTTCTGGTTTCACTAAAATAAGAGAGTCAACCTTGCCCTGAGCAGCAAGATCCGATTTCCAAACCTCTTCGTGCGCCTCTTTTTTATTTAAAAGAAAAAACAACCTGCCCCAAGAAGGTGTTACAGTCAGACCCTAAAGGCAGTTTCAGACAACAAAGACCCCAAACAATCAAAATGGAATTATAATCCGAGCTGTATTAGCTGCCACCTACGCGGAGATGGATTTGCTACCAGCTCAGCTTCCTATCAACCTACACCTCCCCCACCCACCCACCTCCCGGGAGTCTAAGATACCCCCATCCCACCCCCATCCCGGCCGTCTCTCTGGTACCCAGGGGCGGACCTAGAGCCTCGCCCGGGATTTTGCAATCTCTCTGCCGTTTCTCCCAAAAGCTTTATAGCACGCAGTGTTCAAATTCTTTCCCGCCCAGGCATGACGAGAGGAACGATAACAATCGGCTAATACAAGAGCGCTTTGGGGTTGGGGGGGGGGGAGGGAAGAAGGAAAAGGAGGAGGAGGTGGAGGAGGAGAAGGAGGAGGAGGAGGAGGAAGAGGAGGAAAAAGGAGGAAGGAGAAAGCTTGAACCTGAGGCTAGAAGTCCAGCTCCAGGCTGATGGTGGTTATAGGCTGAGCCCCACCGAGTGCTACCCACTTCCCGGGGTAGGCGGGCGGGCGGCCCGAAGGTGACACAAAGAAACAGAGACAAACGCCAAGCCCAGGCGCTCGTTCCAAACCCCTGAGCGCTCCGCCCGCTGACAACTTTGCTGCGCCCCCAGTACACCCTGCTCTGTTCCCCCAGGCAAACTTTCCCGCGGCCGCGAGGCCAGCCCCGTTGTCCGTGCTTGGACTCCGGTGCCTTCCCTCCTCTTCATCCTCTCTTCAGCCCCACTCCGCCCCCCATCGTCCTCCTCCTCCTCCTCCCTAGGCTCAGGAAGATTTCCATCCCCAGCACTCGTCCCCCCCCCCCTCCTCCCCGCTCTCCCCGCCACAAGGCAACCGCGCAACGCACCGAGGCTTGGAGAGCTGGTGCGGCCACACTCACCCGACCCTAGCTCGGCTGGAGGGCGCGGGGCCGCGGGCACTGCCACAGCTCTGCGCCTCCCTTTCTTCTTTCTCCCGGGCTCGAGCTTTCCCTTTCTCTCGCTCGCTTTTTCTGTGCAGTCGGTCGAAGCTCTCGGCGCTACACAGCCCGCTCCGCTCCTTGGCGCTCGGGAAGCGGCAAACCACGCCCCACGCCTTCCCCGCCCGCCAGCCCGCCAGCCCCGGGCTGCCCAGGCTCCTGTTCTTAGAGCCGCCGCCAGCACCACCCTCCCTGTCCACTTTAGAGCATGTCCGTAGGGAGCGGGGAGGCGGAGCGGCCCTCGGCTGCTCCTTCCTAAGCTCTGGGCGTCAGGACTTAAGAAGTAACTCCGGACGGGCTGCTCGTCGGAAATGAGGGCAACTTTGCGTTTAGTTAAAACTGCAGTTCTGTCAAACCCCAGAGAAAGTGGAAGGGCCTGAGAGGCTTGCGACCGGTGCCAGAAAGTTAAGGATCCTCTACCACAACCAGAAGAACCCCAGGCCCTTTCATACTGCTCAGTTCAAGGAGTGTTTGCACTCCTTGGATTTTACTGGACCCTGGGCCAATCGAAGAAAAAAGGCTGAGTTGACCCTTGAGGACTCCCTCCACCCTTTTTGATGCAGTTCCATTCAGTTTTGGGCAGTTCATTCAGCAGAAAGTTGACCATCAGGTGCCAACTTTTTTTTGGCCACACCAACTCATGCAGCTGCCCACCAAGGCTTTGTGGACTTAGTGCGAATACTGATGAAATCTAGACTCTTGTAAGGAGAATAAGGAATAAGCATTTATATGTTATGTGCCAGGTACTGTGTTTTATTGATTTATTTTTATAAATATCATCTCTTTTGAGATAGGATTCAATTAGAATCTTTAATTCTGAATTTAGTGCCTCGGCACCTTATCTCTTCAACTGGATGTTCCACATGTCCCTCAAATTTCAACATTTCCAAAATCATCTCATCACTGTTCATCCCAAACCTACTCCTTCTGACTTTACTGTTGGTATCTGTAGCACTACCATTCTTCCAGTCTCCCCTGTTGGTAACTCTGGGGCTCTCTTTTACTCCCTTTGTTCCCTCACCTCTCATATCCAGTCAGTCAGTCAGTAAATATTCATGAAGCACCTACTATGTGCCAGGCATTGTGCTAAGTACTGAAGATACAAAAAAAAAAAAACCGGCAAAAGACAGTCCCTGCCCTCAAGGAACTCAAAATTTAATGTCAGTTAGCATTCTCTCAGTTCCACCCAACTCTATAACACTTATTATATCTATTTTCTACTCTCCAGTCCCACTGATATCAAGACTGTCATTACCATCTCATTACTTCTCGGACTATTGTAACATCTAATGGGCTCATGCTACTTACATTTTCTTCTCATGCAATTAATTCTTTATAGAACTGCCCAAAGAGTTTTTCTTATGTGTTGGCTTGGTCATGTCCTTCCAATGTTCAAAAGTCTTCAATAGGTCCATATTGCCACTGAGAAAAATTCACACTTTCTTATTCCATGTTCTCTACAATATGGCACTACTTTGTATATAATTATTACAGTATACCTTAGCCAAAACCACTCTGTGTCCCAGGAAGGGGCCCTCTATTTTCCTGTGTCTGTACTTTTGTCTATGATGTTCTCTATGCCTGAAAAAATCTTCCTTTTCCCTCTTTGCCTGCTGAATGTGTATCCACCCTTTAAATTCCTTCTGAAGAACTATGTCCTACATAAAGCCTTCAATGATTCTTCTTCCCACAGGAATAACTTTTCTCCTCAGACCTCACATAACACTTTATTCTTTACTCTCCTAACACAGTATTACAGTTGTCTTATCCCCATGATAGAATGTAAGTACTGCAAGAACAGGGAATATGCATTCAATATACTGAAAAGAGCATGGAGGTAAGTTATTAAGACCTTGGTTCAAATCTCAGCTTTTTGCCTATTAAAGCCTCAGTTTCCTCATCTGTAAAATGGAAATAATATTATTGATACTGCTTCCTCACAGGATTGTTAGAAAAGTGTTTTGTAAACCTGACAGTGACTTAAATGTAAGTTATTATGTTATAAAAACTGTATATCTATTCAAGTGCCTAGGACATTGGTCCATACATAATAGGTACTTTATAAACGGTTGTTGATTGAACCAAAGTAAAACATCATTGAGAGAGAGACAGACAGAGAGACAGAGCGACAGAGAGAGACAGAAAGACCATCAGGCACATTAATCTCATTCAATTCCATTGAATTAAACAATTAAACACAAACAAGCTGGTACTAATAAAGCACGTACAAGTTAAATGTAACAATAATAAAAATAATAATGTTAAGTATCCACCTGCTACTTTATGTAGTAGCAAAGAAATGGAAACAAAGATGCCCATCAATTGAGGAATGGCTACACAAATTGTGGCACGTAGGTGTAAAAAAATGTTAATGTATTGAAGAAAACAATAAATGTGACGGCCACAGAGAAGTATGGGAAGACATTGATCTTTGACCAACAAGCCCAACCTCCGAAAACCTAGAATGTAATAAAAGGTGTTAACAAGGTTTTAAGCTAACTGGAGTGGCTAGGTGATGCAGTGGATAGAGCACTACATCTAAAGTCAGGAAAACCCATCTTCCTAAATTCAAATCAGGCCTGAGACACTTACTGTGTGACCCTGGGCTAGTCACTTAACTCTATTTGCCTCAGTTTCCTCATCTCTAAAATGAGCTAGAGAAGGAAATGGCAAATCACTCCAGTATCTTTGCCAAGAAAACCCCAAATGGGGTCATGAGGGGTCAGACACGACTGAAAAAACTAAACAACACAAGATGCTTAAGCCCCTAAGTTTTTATGAAATGGGAATATCTTTTTCTCAGTGAATGAGGAGGGAAGGCAATTTCATTGACTGAAAGAAGATAGGCATACCCATAGGTGATCATTTAAAGATGGTTTATAGGTTTGAGGGAGTGCAGGCCCAGGAATACTTTGTGGAGGAGACTCCTGCAGGAGGAGAGAAGACTGCTCTCTCTGTAGTGACTTCTCCAGATAAAGACACACCATACAGAAGTTTAAGAGCTCATTGATTCAAAAAAATGTGAGACACAATTTAAGGAGCAGAGACATACCCTTCATACAGACATAGATACATAAACGCAGTCACTTAAGGGAAGAGGCAGCTTTGAGGAATAGGATATCAGGCATCGGAGAAAAGATCAATATGTGGACTTAAGAGAGTTAGTCTAGCAATAGTCGAGATGTACAGAAGGGCAGACTCTGGGAATTTAGCTAAATAACCTGACCATAGGTGTCACTACATAAAAGATGTTCAACAAAAGGACTCTACAAAGAGAGAAAGGACTTTCTGGCTCTGTAGTACCAGGAGTTTTGAGTTGCCTTTGACCTGTATGCATCCTAAACATTTTTCCTCACTACCATGATACTATAAGTTTCAACCCACTTTTCCAATGGATAGTGTGTATATTTGTAGAAAAATGCCTGGGGGGACAGAGCCAAGACAGCGGAGGGAAAGCAGTGACTTGCTTGAGCTCTCCCCCCAAACCCCTCCAAATACCTATAAAAAATGGCTCTAAACAAATTCGAAAGCAGCAGAACCCACAAAAAGACAGAATGAAACAAATTTCCAGCCAAAGACAGCCTGGATGGTTGATCAGAAAGGTATATCGTGCTGGATGGGGAGAGGAGCGCTGTTTGGTGTGGGCAGGCAGGCTGCAGCAACCCTGGAGCAGGCCTGAGAGGACTGAATCACAGGCAGCTGTGGCGGTTTCCAGACTTCTCAACCCATGAAGTTGGTTGCCAAAGACAACTTGGAAGGTCAGTGGGAAAAGTCTGTGACTGCCGTGAGAGAAGGAGATAGGTCTCAGCAGCCCCCAGGGGTCACGGCTGTTTCCCCGAGCTTCTGGCCCACAGTCTGAGGGGGAATCAAGTGGCTGATGAGAGGCGGATTGCAGGGATCTCTTTGCCAGTGCTGAGGCAGGAATCTCTTGCTTTACTGGTGCTTGGATCTGGGTCACAGTTCTGAGGGAAAGTCCTGGGGCCAGGAGGAAAGCTGGTGTGGTGGAGCTTCTTGTGGCGGTGAAGAGAAAACACCTCGCCCCTTATCATAGTACCTTGGAAGAACTGAAAATTTTCAAGTCCTTAGAAGTATCTCTGAAAACAGCTGTACACCCCCCCTCCCCCCCGAACTTTGAGACAGTACATTCTCTACATTGGAAACAGACTTTTACCTTAACAAAGAGTTTAAAACTCAAGTAATTGGCCGGGATCATGAGTAAGCAGTGCAAAAAGAGTCAGACTATATTATCTTACTTTGGTGACAAAGAAGATCAAAACATACAACCTGAAAAAGACAACAAAGCCAAAGCTCCTACATCCAAAGCCTCCAAGAAGAATATGAATCAGTCCCAGGCTTTGGAAGAGCTCAAAAGGGATTTGGAGAAGCAAGTAAGAGAAGTAGAGGAAAAACTGAGAGTTTTGCAAGAAAATCATGAAAAACAAGTCAACAGCTTGCTAAAGAAGACCCAAAAAAAACTGAAGAAAATAACACCTTAAAAAATAGCCTAACTCAAATGGCAAAAGAGGTCCAAAAAGCCAATGAGGAGAAGAATGCCCTAAAAAACAAAATTGGCCAAATGGAAAAGGAAGTCCAAAAGATTACTGAAGAAAATACTTCCTTAGGGGCAGCTAGGTGGTTCAGTGGATAGAGCACCAGCCCTGAAATCAGGAGGACCTGAGTTCAAATCCAGCCTCAGACCAAACACTTGACACTTACTAGCTGTGTGACCCCGGGCAAGTCACTTAACCCCAATTGCCTACAAAAGAAAGAAAAAAAAAAGTACTTCCTTAAAAATTAGAATAGAGCAATTGGAAGCTAGTGACTTTATGAGAAATCAAGACACTGTAAAACAAATCCAAAAGACTGAAAAATTAGAAAACAATGTGAAATATCTCATTGGAAAAATGACTGACCTGGAAAATAGATCCAGGAGAGAGAATTTAAAAATTATTGGACCATCTGAAAGCCATGATCAAAAAAAAGAGCCTAGACAACATCTTTCAAGAAATTATCCAGGAAAACTGCCCTGCTATTTTAGAACCAGAGGGCAAAAT